CTCCAGGTCTGTCGAACCAGAACCACTATAATTATAGCATATTGTGGTTAGCAGACCTAGGGCTAACTAGATCACCTGGGCTTTCTTTGACCCCTGTGCAAAGTTGATTACAATACAACATGTTTCACAGTGTTTCATCCTGAAGTTGAAGAACATGCTTTGAGGAAGACAAGACTAGAAGCATCCATATGGATCCAGTCTGACATCTTCTGAAGATAGGAACTGAGAAAAGTCCAACGATTGTCAATTGTTCAGGAACACATCCTGGACGAGCTTTCCAAGCCATGCCGTGAAATGCAGGGCGGTATTCTTGATCTTAAGCGGTTTTGGTGGTAACCTTGGGTCCACTGCCTTCCACTCTAGTCATCTCTAGTCACATGTGCTCGAATTCGGTCCTGGGTTAGTCAAATGTAGTGCAGTCCATCCCATGATCAAGCCTATTTGATCACTCGATTTTGTAGTCAGGCTCACATCCCACCGATTGGACATTGGATTCTGCACCACTTACAGGACATGCGTTGGATTCTCTGTTTGTGGTACTGGTAGGGTACCTTGGGCCAAGCACAATGGGATTGCATACTGTTAAGTTACTTATTACTGATCCTCCTGCAATCCAGCATCAGCCCTCTCCCCTGTCACCTCAGCCTCTCGTCATGGCGACTGCCAATCCCCGACCCTCGAGGAAACGTTCAGGGCCTGGCGGAGCGGCTCAAACATTGGGAAAACCATGGACAACCCATGCCCAAACACTCCATGTATGGAATATTACTATATTTACATTGACCCCTTAGTTCAACCACCCCAAAATATGATCATAAAATTCAAACATTATGTCATAACTTATGTCAGTCTCATGAAATGTCATGGGCTTTTTCGGCCAGTCCGGATGATCGATCGCATGTGCCGCAGTACCATGGACCCAACGACGGGATCCACTGGATCGTCTCAGGTTCGACTGGACCCTCCATGCCCATGTAAAAAGGTGTGTGTTCACATGATCACCTTCGAAAGAGGGTAGGTGGATCCATAGAGACACATCACTTCTGAATGCACTATGCACGTTTTACACAGCTGGTAGCGCTAGCATGGCCAGCACCGTTTTGAGATGTTTTAAGTGCAGGGGGGGCATCAAGGAGCAAAGAATCTGTTCCCAAAGCCCTATGTTCGTAGGATGGCTTCATCACTAATTAGTAATGTAAATTTGCTAATCAATAATTATATAGTTATATCATATTTTTGTTAACTAGTGTTCTGGTTTAGAAGGTATATATATATATATATATACTCCCTAATTAGGGCTCCAAGTACCTTCTGAGAAGGTGTTTGGGCTTGGTTTGGAGGGTCCAAATACCTTCAGAGGAGAGGGTAAAAATAAGCTGGAACGAGGTGTGTCCCTCCTTCGCTCGATGACGTAAGGGTTTGGTCACTCAAGAGACCGAAAGTTTTTGACACGCTTTGGCAGCGCTTGAGAGTTGGTGGGAAACTCCAAAGTTCAGCCGATGCCCCTACCTGCGAGAACCTGCGAGCATCAAAGTGACCGTCTGGAAGTCAGAAAGACCTTGAAAGCATGCTAGATGCTTCATCTCGTGACCTCAACACCTTCCCAGAATCAGATCGACAAGGTCACTGTTCTTCAGAACCCAGGAAAAGCATCATCTCAACATCTCCAGGCTGCCCATTAGCTCCACAGCTCCGCCTCCGCAATGGCGCAGCGCAGCTTCTTTTTGAACAGGCAAAAAGGCTGATTCGATGATCATTCGGACTTCCATCAGCGCAACGGACTTGCCAAGCCAGTGGTGCTGGTGAGCTGGTCATCCGGTACATCACATGGACGGACCATGATGATGTCTTTCGCCCAGCAGCCTGGTAAGAAGTGGGTTGACATGACTAGGTCCTAGGTGTGTTGACTGGCCTTTTAATCAGCGGCTTGGTGGTGCAAGTATACACTGTTTGTGCAGGAGGCTAGGTTTGTCTCTGGCAGCCTTTCAAGTTGGAATCTGCAAACAATTCAGCAGCTAGGCTACCCCAGAAGAGGAACGTCTGATCGATCTACATCTACATATAGTGTCAAGCTGACAACGACCAAACTGACAACAAATTCTACAATGCACACATGATTTACATATATAGTCCAAAAAACATGGACATGAGATGACATGAGTCATATGAGCCATGGCCGAAAAAAGGCAGTCTATACATATTTGGATCTTCGAAGCAGCACAAATTGTCTTTCAGGAAAAATGTTGTTACTTGTTACGGCATACTTTCCCAAAGACAGCGATTTTGGTTGTGACCAAGCGGACACTGCAAAGCCCACAAACAATTGCATTTTTAGGCGTCCAAACGGCGTCTTTGGGCGTCCAAAACACGTCTTTCCCTGTCTAAATAAGGTTTTCCCGCGTCCATGGATTTTGAGCACATGTTTGAAACGATTACGGTGTCGTGTCACTGAAAAATGCCTCCATCAGCAAACATGTTGGGCCGATTGAAAGTCCAGGTATTTGCAGATGGACAAAGTCAACTCACAAAGTATCCGCAGCTGTACTCCTGGTTTTGCAACGTCCGCAGTTTTGTCTTAAATTAGGTCGAACCACTGAACGGTTGCAGAATTGACAGTGGTTCATACTATGATCAATAGAGTAGCACCTGCTGATACCTGTTGGCTACGATGGAACCATCCTCAAGAGCAAATAGTACTATTGTTAACCCCGCGAAAGGGTGTGGTTTTTGTGGGCCTTAATCTGCCTGCAGAATTGCCTCATGTTTGTTTAAATCCACATTGTAACTATCCGACGATGTGAATACATCAACGATACGTAAAAATAAACGCCCAACGTCTCAAAGCGCTCGAGTACGGTTGTGCAACACGAACATACTGGCCATGGCAGCGCTCGGAAAAATGGCATTGCAATTAACATACTGCAAGGGTTGGCTTTGCCACCCAACAGTCGCATGAAACGGCGTCTTCACAGTAAGAGAAATGTGTTGTTTCCCCGTCCATTAGCGGCCGGCCCGGGCCTTGCCGGCCTCCGGAGATCTCGTGATTTCGCGGAGAACGGATGACCGTGACTGGAACCGATTCTGTGCAGACTTTGCGGGAGGTAAAAACGCAGGATTTTTACATTTTTTGGACGTCAAATGCGGTCGGTCCTCGGATCCTCTCAACAAGCCAGCGAACACTCCTTGAAAGAATGGAGCATCATGGGAAATGAAAAACCTAATTGTTTGGCACTCAGATTTCATGGTCCAAGGAAATTGAAAACCACCACCTGTTGGGCATTTGGAGTTCAGGGGCGCCATGCCATCCACTTCCATGATTGTACTTCATGACATCATTTCTCCCGCTGCAGGACATCCGTCGAGCCGGGCAACTGGCAGGTGGTCCATCTGTGACCTCTGGACACGGAGAATGCACATGGGCCCCTTGTTTTGTTTTTTGTGTCCTATCCCAACTCCTTTTCATCGTATTCTGTGTGTGGGTGTGATTGTTTCCCACCTGAGGGTTGTCAGATTTTATCAGATTTTGTCAGAGCTCTTCTTCCCCTCTCCTCCTCTCCTCCACCGCAACTGCAGTGCCAGATCGCAGTGGGTACTACTGGACCTCAAACGGCCAGTACGGGATCGCAGTGGGCACTTACACCGGACCTCACAACTACAAGTACGTCAACCGCCAGTGCGCGATCGCAGTGGGCATTGCCGGACCTCAACCGGAAGTGCAAGTGCCAGATTCCGTGTATACCGGACCTCAACACACAACCACAACCACAAGCACAGCCACAAACACACAACCACGAGAACACAACCCAACCAAAATCACACAGTCACAAACACACAGCCACAAACACACAAGCACAAATACAAAACCACGACACACACACAAAACCACAACACATAAAACCACAAACACAGAAGCCACAAGCACGACCACAACACACAGCCACAACACACAACCACAGCAAACAACCACAACACACACACAACCACAATACACAGCCACAACACACACACACAACCACAGCACACAACCACAACACACACAACCACAGCACACACACCCACAACACACAACCACAACGCACAACCACAGCAAACACACAACTACGACTACTACAACAATAGAATTACCTGTGTGTGTGTGGCGTTTTGTGTGGCAGGTGGTCACAGGGAAGCACTTGGATGCCAACTGGAGACGCTGGCGACACCTTGACGCGAACTCCCCAGCATAAAATAACAATCCCAAACCCGAGGACCTACAAGCAAGATCAAAGACCGCAAAACTCACGACCATGGCAACATGTTCCTCACCATGGCATGAAAACAAGTGAAAACACATGATTGAAATGTCTTGGTGGGGATCACTCAAAGTAAAGTACTTTTGTTCATTGTCTTTGCCTTTAGAAAGAATGTCAGTTGGATAACGAGATGCTCTTGCAGTTTCTACAAAAGTAGCTTTGGGACGTTTTGAAACCCAGGCTCCAGTAGATCTGAGTTCTCCATACTTCTCCAAGAGCAGTTAAACGACACCCAAACACCAACCACCCCTTCCACCCGCAAAACGAGCCAGACCCAAGACCACAGTTTTGTAAAGTAGGGGATTGTTGCAGTCGTCCCCATAGGATTCACAGAGAACCCGAACCGTCATGAAACCGAGGACCGGGGACCGTCGTGGGGCCGCTTAGCCGCTTTCTGCTTCCGACGAACCGTCATAGACACCCCAAACGAATTCGCACGTCGACGCTTGCAATCATGAACCCAATATGAGAGAGTGTCTGGGCCAGGATGGCTCGGTTTTTCCCGGTGGGAGCGGAGATGGGGAATCCTCTTCCGCAGGGCTCGAAACACCAGCTCAAGTCTGGAAGATCCTTCAGAGGTTCTGCTGAGTGACACATCTGAGGAATACCTCACGTCTTGAACAACACCCCCCCCCCAACCGCGAGATGAAACCGCGTCTTGTGGAGCAGCCGACAATGTGAAGGATGTTTGCCCGGCTCTTCGCCGCCTTATCTTCTCAGGAGTGACGTCTCGAGGGCCGCACTCCTGGCGAGTCAGAAGGGTTCCCGGGTCCGGGACGCAGCTCGGTGGACACACGGACGCGATGGGGAACGTGCAGGGGCGAATGATGGGAACGTGGATGATGGGATGAAGGGACGAAACGAAAGATGCTTCATAGACCAAGAATGGATAAGGGTGATGGTCATTTTCCGGCTTCTTGGTGAAGAAACTCAGTGACCTATTTTGACAGTTGGGCTTTGCACTTGACAGCCTCAGCAAGGCTCAGGCCAAGAACGGGGGAGAGAAGTCAGAGAAGTACGTTAGTGACCAGCGGGGTCAACGAAACGCCAAACGGATCCGCTGGTCGCTGGTCACTGGTCGTCCCCCCGGACGGTTTTTCAAGCGGGGCGGTTTCGTTGGTTTTTTCCTCCGCTGGTGTTGAGCATGAACCACCTGGAAGGTGGTGCCGTGCTGTTCGGGCAGTACTACGAGACCTCTTATGTTCGGTGAAGAGTTCGCCACCTGTCAGAACACCTGATTTCAGCATCAAGTTTGAAACTCGCAGCGTGAAGCTGATGAAACATCTCAGTGTGCTGCTGCAGATCGATGTGGTGAAATTGTCTCAATACCCTCAAACAAGAACACAAATTCCTGTGGACGATGTTGGTTGAGGTCAATCGCGTGCTGTCTCCTGGACGATCTTTTGTTCGCTTGGGCGCTGGCTTGGGCACTCTGGGACTTCTTACTCATGTTGGCCGTTCTGTGACGCTTAGGCGCTGGCTGAGGCTGGTGATTTCTGCCAACCCCTCTGGCTGCGCATCGAGAACGTCCACTAGCGAGCAACTCGACGGCGCGTTCCTCTTCGCTTCGTCGTCGGCATGTCGGTCTCACGTCCGATCCTGGGTCTCACCCCATGCCGGTCTGGCGAAATTGGGCAGGAAACAGTATTCCTGGCGCTTTTGTGAATGCAGCCCCAGGCCCAGTCTGCTGAATCTGAATCCATCTTGGGCGCTTGCGCTCCGAAGAGCTCAGTCTGTCTAGCTGCATGTCTTTGAGCCTCGGGGTACTTGAGAAAGCACCTCTGTAGCAGAGCAGAGAAGCCTCTGGACAAAGCTGAAGAGTACCCTGTCTCCTGAGCTGTGCTTGTCTCTCCAATGGATAGGTTCTTATATCTGTGTCACACATTTCTCCTCAAACCCAACTTGCCTATATGATGGGTCAACCGGTGTGTTTGGTATTGACCCATATAGTCATATAGCCATTTGAGCGAGTTGCCCCTTGTTGGCGTACCAAGAGCAACCAAACCCTTAACAATGAACAACTGTGTTTACATGTTATTGTTTCAAAGACCATCAAAAAAAAACACTAGAAACCCACAAAAGTGTGGCGAACAACTTGGTTTCTCATCTTCGGAACCCATAAGAAACCCCGTGCAAACACCTGTCATGTCTCGTACGAACCCACTTTCTGTGCATGTGTAATTTTGCAAATTAGAACCATGTCTTGCAAGCTGCTGGTACTCTGTTTTAGTTACCCCAGCTGAGCTGCTGGTACTCCGCCATTCCCTCTTTCTCACGCCATCCAACCGGCCGCGAACGGGTCCAAAACCTGCAGACCTGCCCCAGACCTGCCCCATTTCGCCCCCTCGTCTCCCATGGCTTTTGGACGGGCACCCCGGTGCCCCCACACGCGAGATTGGTGTGGTGTGTTCGCCGGATCCGCGCCTCATGAAATCACCCAAGGCCGTGTCCACGGGACTCCGGAACTCCTGGGAAACGTTGGGAGACCTCAGAAACTCACGTGACACCGTGATCGACAAAAACTTCTCCCCGTGCCGCAGAAAAGGACTGGAGATTTGGAGACTGTGGACGGAAGGTGGTTGAAATCTGTGGAAATGGAGTTGCTCTGGGCGAAGGTGGTGAGAAGGTGGAAGAGATGGATGGAAACCACTGGCAGTGATGGTGACATCCAGTGAAAGTGGATCTTCAGCTGAAAGCCCTTCTTGTGAGAAGGACTCCACGACCAAGCAGCCTTGGTTGATACACTGTGCTACTACTGCTGCACTTTTTGGGCTTCAACAGAAACCAGCAGCAAAATCGTTCACAACTCGGTCTTGACATGTTTATACACACCCCTCAGCGCAGGGGCTAGGCACCCTTGAGGGTCTTTGCCAACGGTGGTGGTTTGCAACTGAGGTGCCAAAATCATGCTTGGTTCACTTGGGGGGTTCTCCTCGCACTTTGACCCCTCTGCCCACTGAACATTGTAGAAGCCACCACCCCACGTCTTGCCAGGAGACAGCAGGGGTTGCAGTGAAGAGGGCCTGAGGTGAACACGGCGAATCGGATCCGTTTCTTATCGGATCCGTGGGACTGGGGAGCTGTCGCCGGCGCGCTGTTTGGTTGTCTGTCGTGTGGGTCAAAACCAGCACAATTACTTTGGTTGACTTGACCTACTACCGGTCACGTCGGTCGTTCGCGACGTGGTAGACTGGTCGGGGTCGGACCGGACCGCACCCCGAGATCATCCCGTCCGGTCAGCGTTTGGTGGGTCCGGTCAGCGTGTGGGTGAAAAGCGAGATCGTTCAAGTGAACATACTCAAATTCAGCCGTGTGACCTAGAGCCAGTGCGGTTTCTTTCAAGATGAGAAACATGGGGACACAATACCCCACCCACTCACTCAGTGCGTGGTGGTGCGTGTTCTTCCATTCCCCACCTGTCAGAGAACCCACACACACTGGGTTTCCCACATAAAACACGCGTGCACATACTACTAGAAGAACTTTTGGTCTTCAGGATCTACTTTGTATGGTTCCATGATGGAACCCGAACCCATGTCCGTTGTTCGTTGCGTGGAACCGCAAACACCGTCCCTGCCGGTCACTGGCAGTTCCGCGGCAGGCGGACATCAAACAAAAGAGCTCCGGTTAGACCCTCCCAGCTACTCAAGAGTCAGCCGGGCGCTTAGACTCTGAAAGAAACCTGTATACAGTTCCTCAATTCCTAGGGGTGATCTCCTGCAACATCGCTCTTGATGGGTGAAAGTTTGGTGTAACCAATCCCCTTCAATGCAACTCTGCCATAAGGTCCTTGCTTGCTGAAAGAGAAAACATGCAAACATTGAAGCACTGCGCCACCCCCCGATGATTCGTCTAGGTCCACAAAACCGGGTGTTTGTTACAAAACGAATCCTCTGCCTTGATAGGGGTGTCATTATAACCCCTAATAAGATCGAGACGGATTCCCTTTAAAGGGGATTTTACTTGTCTATCTATTTGGGGGTCTATATAATATATAACGGAATCAACTCATCCAACCCAGTCTGCCTGAAAAAACATCAACCACAGACCGCACAAACCGCTCGCACCGGTGCCTCATGGATCCGCCCAGCGTGCTGCTCGAAGGCTGGGGAGTTTCAGGAATGAACGCAGCAGAATACAATGCCTCGCAGGTGGCGGCGCCGGCGACCGACCACTGAGTTCGGGTTGGTCCTGAGAACCGTCCCGTCCCGTCCGAATCTCCCGCGATGCGTCCGAGATGCAAAAGCACGTGAGCGAAAAATACCACAACTGGGGAGAAGAAATATACAAATATAATATATGGTACCCCCCCAAAAAAAAGTAGACACTTTCAGACAAATAGGGGAGGTGGGGGGTACCAACAAATCTGAATCTGCAATGTGCATGTGGCGTCTGATCAAAATGCTAAATGAACATCCTCCTACATCTGATCAAATATATAGTTAAAATAGGTGGTATAAATTGTTGCGATTTTTTTTTTGAGCCTGCCAGCATTTTTGCAAGGTGGGGTAGACCAAAAATTGCAAAAACACTGGCAGGCTCAAAAAAAATCAAAAATTTCAAAAGGCCCTAGTCACAAAACCCTGGCAGGCTCAAAAAAATAAAAACATCAAAAGTGTTAGGATCTATGGGGGGTCTGGAATGTGTATAAATTTTTTTAATTTTTTGAGTCTGCCAGTGTGTTTGCAAGGTGGTGTATATAAAAATTTTTAAATTCCTTGGCAGACTCAAACAAATCAACGATTTAGACAGCCCCCAGACCCCCCATAGATCCTAAAACTGTTGATTTTTTTGAGCCGGCCAGGGTTTTGTGACTAGGGCCTTTTGATATTTTTTCTTGAGCCTGCCAGTGTTTTTGCAAGGTGGGGTAGACAAAAAATTGCAAATTCCTTGGCAGGCTCCAAAAACAACAAACATTTATGCACCCGCCAGAGCCCCCATAGATCCTAAAACTTTAGTTTTTTGTGATTTTTTTTTGAGCCTGCCAGCGTTTTTGCAAGGTGGTGTAAACAAAAATAGCAAATTCCTTGGCAGGCTCCAAAAAAACAAACATTTATGCACCCCCCAGAGCCCCCATAACTTTTGATTCTTTTGAGCCTGCCAGGGTTTTGTGACTAGGGCCTTTAATTTTTTTTTGTTTTTTTTGAGCCTGCCAGTGTTTTTGCAAGGTGGGGTAGATAAAAGATCCGCCGGCCCTTGGGCGCCGGCATGTTTTATCAATGTGGCTTGTATGTAGCTTAAGTTATGTTGAATCTATATGTAATAAGAAAAGTGTCTCTGGAGCAAGTTTTTGCCTCGTCTAACTTGACCCCCCCTCCCCCCCAAGAACATCCCGAATGTATGTAGCTCACATATATCATAGCTAAAGTGAAAGGTTGTGTGCGCTTCCTTCTTATCGTCGTTCTTCTCTTGTCGTTGTCCATGCATTGCGCTTCTGCTTTGCATGCGTTTTTCTCAGGCCTTGCACCTGCACTCACGTATCTATCGTTTTTTGCAGACTCAGACTGCTTGGAAATCCCCATGCCACACATGTCCTCAATACTCTCTTGTCTCATGTCTGACGGAATGCTATGTGCGTTTGCTGCTTCGCACGGTCTACTTCGCTCATTGTGTCACATGTCATATAATTTGTCTTCTTGCTTGGCAGGCTATACTTTGCATCCCCCAATTTCATCTCCTTGTTCTCTTATTGTATCATAATGCACGTCATTTCATGTAGGTTCTCTGTTGCTCCAGCTGTGTTCTGGATGATGCTGTTACTTTTTCTGCTCTGTTGCAGTCTTTCCTCTTGACGCAAAAGGTAATCCGCATCTTGGGACCATTGGCTGAAAAGGCCGGCGGAACAACCCGCAGGGTTTAAATAGCAAATTCCTTGGCAGGCTTAAACAAATCAACAATTTATGCACCCCCCCAGAGCCCGCATAGATCCTAAAACTTTTGTTTTTTTTGCTTTTTTTGAGCCTGCCAGGATTTTGTGACTAGGGCCTTTTGATTTTTTTGATTTTTTTTGAGCCTGCCAGGGAATTTGACATCTCTGCAAGGTGGGGTAGACAAAAGATAGCAAATTCCTTGGGACGAGATTAAATTTGGTGGTTCTTGGATGATGCCCATGAATTGAATATCTTTTCATTCTTTAAAATTCATGGTATCTTTTAATCTATTTCTTTAATCTATAATCATGAGGGCATTATTTTATTTGAATATTAATGCCCGGTCCATTGCTAGGCTAGTATTTTATGATTGATTGACTATTAATTTATTGACGGCAGCCTTTTTGTTTGGTAATGAAGAATGCTTGTGGAGGAAATTAATGGTCAACATATTTAATTGCTTTTATATTTTACATTAAAAACATAAGATAATATAAAAGCCATGCAAAGTAACATGTTTTGCTAGCCGATAGCCCCACCAATCAATATAGACTAAAATTTGTGGTCAACTCTCACATACAAGCAAGAAATTTGTCTGAAAACGTTGTTTCCTTTTTTTTTGCGGGGGTTGCATGTAGCATATATATGAGTAGATTGACACAATATTGATTATACACATTGGTTTCCTTCTTGAGGGTTGCAGAATCTTGCAGACCTGCTCTTGCGAGAAAAAATGAACGAACCACCAGGCGGTGCAATCTGTCAACAACTGACAGTTACTTCTATTTGAAGCGATTGAAACATGGCCAAGCAACACTTGTGCATGCGTGCAATGGTCACATCCCTTTAATCCCTTTGGCGACACTCCCCAATCATTTCAATACATCAATATCAGCTATGAGGACGGCAAGTGCAACCGAAGGGTCTGAATCACCATCCATTCTTCTTTCCCGAACAGAAACATCACACTGCTTTTTTTGGGATGTACTCTGTATACAAAGGTCCAGAGTTGAAGTCCCAAGTGGTTCAGGGGCATTTTCCCAATCACCCCACCACCCCCCACCTTCCAAACAAATTCCTCTCATGTTCACACTGCTGACGATGTATTGAATGGCACGGCACATCCGAAACAAGAACACATGACCTGTAAAATTGGGCTGGGGTAGGTATCTCGTATCTCATCGGGGGGGCATCTCATATCGCTTGGTGGTTTCAACATGATCAAAATGCTTCGACCCACCTTTTCAGAGTTAAATACACACACAACAACAAAAATAAACACAAAACACACAACAACAACAACAACAACAACAACACCAACAACAACACCAACAGCAACAACAACAACAACAACAGCAACACTCCTAGTCTCACCCCCGCCGTCCGGAGTCGTCTTCGCGTTTTGGGCCGCCCCGGCCCTGCGGTGGCTCCGAAGCAGGACTCCCTGGCCACCCGATGTGGAGTCCAACCAGTCCTGAGCAGCGAACGTCCCGTCGGGTGTTTTGGGGTGCCGGAAGGCGAGGGCCGCCTTCGAGAGTGAGTCACACATGAGTTTTCGACCATACGGAACCTGATGGTGTTTTTGTTTAAGCTAGAAAGGGCCTGGAAGTTAGAAGATTGGAAGATCTGCAGTGGATCCAACCAGTCCAGTCCCGTCCCCGTTCTCCGATTAAGTTAAGTTGTTGGGTTGGTTATCTCCTATATATCCCTCAAGACCACTGCCAGTGTGCAGAAAAGATCGGAACATGTAGGTTTCTTGCTGAGAGGTACTGCGTTTAGAGGTAGAACACATTCCACTATATTCCACTACTACAGTCAAAGCCACTGCTCCAAACCCTTGGTGAGCCCATGAGAACGTGCAGTTTCTTTCTTGGGGTGCGCCGTGCGCCCAGTCTGTACCCAGTCAAAACCCAGTCTGTACCCAGGATGACCTTCATCTTGGGACACTGGACCTCAAATGTCAGAACTCAGTTTCCAACTCGAATTGTTGGGTATGACTGGTCGTTCGGTGGCTGTCCACCCACCGAGGGAATTTCACGCTTCACACCACACTGACCTCGTTGGAGGTCCAGAACCATCGTTACCATGGGGACTTTGGTGACTTCGGGGCCACCATAGGCCACCTTGCTTTACTTGCAATCATGAGAGTTTCACACCAAAAGAAGAGGTCAACCATGGTCAACCAGTCAGCTGCCTTGCAATCAAGTGGAAAAACAAAGACCTGGAACATCCTAGAACTTGATCAGCTTCTCCTGATCTCTTAGGTGGGTGGCCCCTCTTCCCATTGAACTGAGCTGGTCCCGTCAGAGTCCGCCTGACTTCGACCGCACGACTTGGCACGCCAAGCATCGTTCAGAGTCTGTGAGCTGTGCCTGAGCTTTGACGACCGAAGCCGAGTCTGCGCTGCGGAGAAAACGGCGTCTGCGCTGCCCGAGATTTCGATGGATGTCAGATTTCGATGGAACTGCTGCAGTGTGTTCATCCCAAAATTGGTGGGTTTGGTGCACCAGCTTTCAGTGAGATGTTCAGTGAGTCGCTGCGAAACACCGCAACGAGGAAGTGATCTCCGTCGGAGCCGGATGCACTTGAACAACACTGGGGCCTCAATGATGCAGCTTCGCCCTGCGAGCCACATATTCCTCTACCGGGAGCTGACCGCATCAAGCTGCTTGGCTTTAATGGCTTTCCAACTTTTTTTGAGAGTTGTATGGAAGTCTCCGTGCCAAATTCCCCACCAACTCTCCGGACTCTCTGATTTGGAAGAAAAAGCCCCCCTTAACTGGTCCAGCGACACTAAGCAAAAGAACAAGGAAGCTCTTCACTCAAGGTGAACTTCGGACTCTTGAGTAGTTAAAATGCTGCTCGACATCAAGGTCTTACGTGACCGGACCCACTAAGGGTTGGTTCATGGACACCCCTCAACCTCTGAGGGTCTGAGGGCCAATCAAAAGAACCCCCTTAATTACCCTCCCTCAAACAACCATGGAAGCTGCGCAGGCCTCACTTGTAGAGGAAAATGGCCTTCCAGGGGTCGAGGGGGGGGCCTATGTTCCACTTCCATGATTGTTTCAGGGAGTGTAGGGGGTTCTGGTAGATGACATGTTCGTTTGTCTTTCAGTTTCCGATCAAGCCAAATGACTGCTGACCGGGCCGTCCGTCGTCGACCGGGCCGTCCGAAACGCGGAAAACGCATCGACCGCTCCGAGCAGCTTGGCGTTGTCCGTCAAGGTGCGCCTCAGAATGGGGATCTGAGGGGCCATCACGGCCTATGCATTAGCCAGGGACCACGTGACTATACCCTTTGAATGTTTTGTTCTTTAGTGACCATATAAAATCAATCATCATCATCTTCTCCAGGATCATCCGACCGTCTGGGTGTCCTGTTTGGAGGTAGTGATATGTAGTGCAGGTATTTAGTCAAAAAGGTGAACCAGAATGGATGATCCAGGCTTGTGATGACATATGCAAACACATTCATTCTAGATCATTTCTGTCAGTCAATGTTGAGGGTGCTCTAGTTCAAGGACTGTGAGGTCCTCAGTCTGAATATTCAATTCTACTCATCTTCCATCCGAAGCGCAGGTTTCGGATGTAGGTCATCCCAAAGTGGTTCGTGGCCTGCTCTTGCTCCGCGAAGAGCAAGGGCGCCACGTTGTTGCTAAACCAATCCTAAGCGGATTGCTGCGGCCGGGCGACCGTTCGGCCTGAGTCCGCCAAGAGCGGAAGCCTCCGCCAATTGGCAGTTACTGTATACTAGTTGCAGGGCTTTTGTTCATTCTAGATGGTGCAGGACCAAGATGTGTTCAAATTTATGGCGGGTGCCAGGGCCATTGAAAAGAACAGGAACCAAGCAGGGGATTCAGGCCCAGCCGGCGCCGGCCGGATGACTGGATCCAGCGGGATCAGCTACGGGATCCAATGAGAATTGTGAACTGCCCAACAGAGCTTTGGCCACCTACATGTACAAATTTTGGATCCACAAATCACCAACAAAGCTTACCAGTGAAGAAGTGGAACACATCACTTCAATGTAGACTCTTGAAGGCTCTTGATTGATAACAACACCCTATAACCATCTATAACCTATGAACAGGTTTACACTTGCAAATTGGGGATGTATTGATCAAGAGTCTATATGATCCTGTGTGGCTGAAGGACTCCACAATGTTGGAACCATCTCCCTGCAGGCAGACCCTGTTTCCCCAAACTTGGAATCAGTTGAGGATATATAGGATATGCCTAGACTGTCCCCTGAAACATCCCAATGTAGGCAAATAGGCAAGTCCCATGGATGGTCTGGGTAAAGAAAGACATTGAGGTTCACTGCCTGATGCTCTGCTCTTGCAAACTGCTGCATCCGCTGAAAAGCAGGATGACTGAAGTCACTGCCAAGGCTCGTCCACTTTGGAACCTGAAGGGACGGGTGGAGACGGGTGGAGACGGACAAGTGAAGTCACCATCGCTTCAGACCGACCCATTGGTAGAGCTGGGAGCTTGGTCTCTACATGATGGACCAGGTCTGGACAGTTCGGGGGGCCGGACCCATCCCCAATGATATCCAAACTGGAGGCCCCTGCTGACAACGTGGAGGTACTACTGGCTTCACCTGTTTAAGACGGGGTTTTGGACTTCACCATGCTTCACCTGTCTTCCTGCTGCAAAAAGAGCTGAAGTCACATCTTCTAACCCACCATCCACAGGCCACACGGCCACGGCAGTTATGTAGGTGGTCTTGGAGGGTCCAGTCGTACCAAACCGGAGAAGGTGGCAGTGGATCCATCGGGATAGACAGCATGAAAGATGTAGACGATTCGATCCAACTGATTCCGAGATCTAAGACAGCAATGACCCAGGAGCCGGCCAATTGAGTTGCATAAAATCATCAAAGAGAGCTGAAACGAGAGAGTTCCCAGATATAGGCTGGACAAAAGACCGGAGGCTCCGAGGGAGTGGTGTTGTCGGAACTGGTCTTGCATCATCTTGCCTCCAATTGTGCTGAGTCACTGAAGAGTGTCTTGATAGTTTGGTTTGGGGTCGGTTTGAGCGTCTTTGAGCCATACAAAAACATCCACTGACCTCCAAACAAAATGACTCTTGGTCCTTTCACCTTTCCGTGCTGCCCGAAACCAAGACACTGAAGGCTGCTTGGACGTCGAAGCTACTCCCGCTGTTGCTGCTGTTCCGGGCCTCTTCTTGAAACCTGTGCGAGGTGAAGCGCGAAGCCACACCACGGCGTTAGTGTCTCGGAACTTGAAGGGTGCTGGACCCATCCGGGACCGGCCTCTGATCGTTGCTTGGGTCATCATCCGATCTAGTGACACTAGCTTGTAGATGAAGAGCCGCGTGCCGGCGTTGAAGAGAAGCGAGGATACCATTCACAAAGGGATTCCGCTCATGTTGCACAAGTCACAAGTCATAAGACTCTACTACATATCCACAATGTGGTGCTGGCTTTCAACTTCTAGCTCGGACTGTGGAAAGCGGGCTACCTAAACCACCAAGAAGGTCCAGAAGTGTCCACTCCTCACATGCTCCTACCTGCAGAGCTTGAAACCAGCTCTGTTAGGGAAACGTAAGTGAAAGAATGAGCATCTTTGCACTCTTGAACTTTTGGAGGACTTATTCTACTTCAACTTGCTCACTATTCGTCTCGCAACGGAAAAAGGAACAAACAACTGAACGTGGACCCGTTTCTTGAGAGCCCTGGCTTCTTCATTTGATAGATGTTGATATCATCTTACATCCAAATCCATGGAACCTATATATAAGCGCTATATATGGTGAGAAATCCAGCCATTTCCAATCCCTCCCGGTTGATGCCCTCGTCCTAACCGAGCCTGGCAAGGCTCTTGGAGAGCTGGCGGATTAGCAGGGCCAATTCTTCGAAGCCACAAGCCTTGGAGAGGTCGCTCCTCAGACGGCGCGAGGAATAGCGCAAGACGAGCGCACGCGTCTTGCGCGAAAAAAGCGATTGGAGAGAGGGATAGGACTCATCGGGGCAAATATAGCTGAAGTCTCAACATGGGACATACTGACCAGCTCTCAAGTGATTGTTGTGAGGTGTAATAACCAGGACATACCAGGACCTTCAGTTCGTGACCTCTTTGGAGTCTCTGTTTGTGACCTCTTTGGGGACTAAGTAACCTCAAAAGGTTACTTCAAAGGTCCTGGAATAACAAATATATATATATATACATACAGTTAACTTTATATGTTTATAGTTAATATATACTATATATTGTATATATGACAAGTTGTTTTATGACTATGACTTATATACTATACTATGTATAGGTTTCTCATGGTTTCTCAGGAATTCCTTCGGGTTGCCATCGCGCATCTGTCAACCGGCCCGGCCCGCACGCGGTTTTCGGTCCGCCACGGGCCGTCGGCTGAGGCTCCAGGGTTTCAGCACTTCATGCTCGCGCTGTGTCATGAGGCGTCGCTTCACGATGCAACGGCAGAAACACACGATGACCTCGGGGGTTCCAGCGGCTTGAACGACGACCTCGTATGAAGCACATCCAAGCGGACTGACATCTACTCCTGTGGTGCTCTTAGATAGAAATGGTGTCCAAGGGTAGTGGGGATCGACTTTTCTATCTATTTGGGGGTCTACATTGTTTTACATTGGTGGTGTCTTATGTTTCTTTGAAACACCAGGCGTCCATGTACTGTAGATGAACAAAATACTATGCATGGAGTGTCCGGGATCAGTAAGGTTCTTGTTTTTTTTGTTGAGATAGTCTATGAGTCTATAAAGGTTTGAAGCGAAGGTTCAGTTCTTGACCCTAAGGATCCAGTCGTACCTTCTCACGCACGGTGATGTGTTCGACACTCTTATGTAGGTGCCAGGGTCCAGTCGTACCCTTCTGAGAGGTACTTGGATCCCTACCTAGGGCTTTGCCACCTTTTTTGTTGGCAAACAATGGGGTCTCCTCTCAATCACTGGTTCTTTCAGTCGATGAGGTTCTTCTTGGTCTTCTTCAGTTGCTTCAAACCAAACGTGTCTGTTTGGAACGATTTCCGCATTTGATGCACACTCTCGATCCCCGTTGGCCACAAATCTCTGTGCACCACAAATCGGTAAAAGGACAAATGCTGTGATCCCCCCCGTCCCGTTCGCGTCCCTTTAAGCAACCAAATGTCAACACTGCATCAACACTAACTTTAACTTTGGAGTGAGCTCCACAGACCGACCCTTCTGTCTTGGTCCTTCTGTCTTGGTAATGTTGGATCCTGATTAGAAAATGGGTCCTCAATAATGCAATTTTTTTCAAAAACTATTCCAGCCACCCCTATTGAAAAATGGGGTCTGAATAATGCTAACTTTTTTGGGGGACCCTAATTGTTTCTTTTTTTAATATTGGACCTTGATAAGAGTTTGAATTCCTTATGAACCCTGTCCACTTGCACTCCCCCCCTCCCTTCCCAGGCAAGCAGCCAGCAGCAAAGCAAAACACAAACAAACAAACAAACCACCAACAAGATGTTAATTAACTACAACCCTAGTCCTTGGCTGAGGAAAGCCTGCTTCTTGGCCTGAGCTGCCAAAATATTTAGGGTTCAGTATATTTCCTTTAAGAAATAGATATATTAAAGCTTAATACTACTAAGCCAATGGTTGGCTTTCTGAGAGTATTGATAAGTATACGTTTCCATAGTTCTTCTTCAAAACTGACAGCTTCCCAAAACCATCAATTCCCTAATCAATCCTTTATGCCTTTATGTAAAGATTCCTCCTAAACAAAGTTTCAAGGTAGTAGACCAGGAGGGCCCGTGATCCTCAATAATGAATTTGTTTTAAGGGTCCTCAATTGTGCGAAGTTTTTTTCCTGAATAAAAAAAAGCAATTCATCATAGTTGATCACTACTACTACTGCTACTACAACAACTACAACTACAACTACTACAACTACTACTGAATACAATCTATGAAAGGAAAAGGAAAACAACATTGAATTGCAAAAGGAAGTCTACCAGGAATCTAGAATTGTTTTGGTACTAGTTTATTGTAGAGACCCCTCCAATCGTTTAGCTAGGGGGGGGCCTATTTATTAATCAGGATCCAACATTAGGTAAAGTACTTGTGAAGCCGTGATGTGTGTGTGAGAGCCACCAAGTTGATTCTCAAAAGGTCAGTCACTACGAGATGTACCCTTCGAATTCTCCCTTGGCCAGGATCAAACCTCAAAATGGACCTTGTACAGAATTGGCTGTTTAGATGCCTCTTTTGCCACGAATCAAGGGTTTGGGCAAAATATAAATCTTTGTGGATGAACCTGATGTATCTCATCTATTTTCGGTATAATCCCCGATATTCTAGTTGCACCCCCTGTTCTGTTTAGGGCAGCAGATTTTGATGTGCAGGTCATGTACAATCCACTGCGAATGGACCCATCTATAGTCATACATCCCCAACAAACATCACACTCCACCCTCGGTAACCCTTAGTCAATGAACAAAAACGTGAGACACACATCAAATTGTCAGCATCTTCCAACACCAATCAAACTTCAAACATCCAGGACATACCTGGATCTTCAAAGTGACCTTTTGATAACCTGGTTTGAGGTCACTTAAGCCTCCTAAGGGTCACTTAGGAACCTTCAAAAGGTCAGTTGAAGAAGCCGGTATGGCTATTTTACTTCTATTTCCAGCAGCAAACCCAATGGCAGGCAACGGAGCCTGGCAACTCTCCCATCCTCACAGGAACAGTCGTGTCTGGCGCCCAGACTCGCGTATACTCCCTGGGTTTTCGAACCAAACAGCTGTTGTTGCCATCTCTTCATGGTCGGGTTGGTGCATCCTTCAGTGTCTGGGAGGTCCCATCATGTCCCATCCAGTGACTGTTATCCATCCTCCGTCTCGATCCAAAGGGGCCGAACATTGAAAAAAACCGCTCGAAGTCTGCCACCGACCTCAGCGAGTGCGCGAGTTTCGCAGCTTTCATGCATGAAACACTGGCAGGTGGGCGAGTTTCGCGTTGATCAACAATACCCCCCAAGTGGTGTAAATATGTTTGTGATCAGCCGTGTACAGTATCTACACATATACCTCTTCACTATCCCAAGGATAGTACCTACACCATGAACTCTTCTTCACAACACCGAACCTGCCTCTTGGCCGCTCTTGGCCCTTTTCGCGTGGTGGGCTTAAAGAGCCTGACTGGCCCCTTTCAGCCGATTGGGCGCTGAAACACCTTCTCTGTGCCACCTGCCAATTGCTTTCAGATGTCATCTTGGCGCTTGGAAGCTTCAGCTTGATCTTGAAACTGGAGGAACTGGTGCGGCTTTATTCCTTTTAGGCTAATATATAGGCTTCTTGGGAACGGAACGCACGGTCTGCAGAATGCCAGGTGCGACCTTACGGCGACCTTTCGCATCGATGACGAGTCCAAGAAGTTCAGCGACCAAGGGACACCATCCCTCCAGTGAGCCCAAGGAAAACACCCTACAAAGAGATGACCCCTCACTAAGCTCGTAGCTCCGCCTACAGGTAGTGGATTCGCTTGGTGCGTGGCCGACGTGGAAATCAGCACTACTTGACCCCTCAGATCCCACCAGGGTCAAGTAGACAGGGTGCTTGTAGTAGGCGTGGACCTTGTCGATCAATGTCCTCGACGGATGACGTGGTCACCCAGCCCTACACATGAAATAAAGTTGAACAAACAGCACAAAAGACATCAATAGACAGTTGGTACAGGAGTGTTTGGACCCGGCAGCACTCCATTTCCATGAATCCTGGAATACACTTCGAAACACATACTACCTGGATCAGGACAAAATCGTACAAAAGCACTTCGATTTTGTGACAGAGTGAACAACAATTCACCACAATCTCACTGTGTATGTTGTCTTCGGTTGGGCCTGCGGATGACCGACAACCTCACCGATGTCGGGCCTGCCTCGCGTGTAAAGACTGCCATAAGAAGCAACGCGCAACTATGGACACCGGTTGGGTCTGGTTGGTTGTAGGTCCGCGTCCAGCTCTCGGATGCGGTATTCCGAATTTCCCCTTCTGAGGGCTGAGGGCTGGTGCTTGCAATGCTGAGGCGGCCCGCCCTGTCAAACCCAAATATACCAAACATGCATATACCAAACATATAGCTTCTAGCTACTAGTAGCTTACTTGTTACTAGTAGTAATGGCCTCCAACCTACTAGCAATGGCCTCCACCTAGTAGCTTCATGTCGCTTCTAGTAGAAGATCCGGCATATCGGAGCCCACCATGCCCTCGAAGAGATGGAACTGGTCAGCGTTGAGGCTGAGGTGGGGCTCACGGCGGTTGAGGCTCTGCCGGTCACTCTCGTTGTTACAGTTGCACTTGGCGACGCTGAAGTTGCGAATGCACAGCAGGTATGTGTCCTGGGTGCACTGGGTGGGTTGAGTGACTTCGGTTGGTCACTCCCACAAAAGACGATCTTCCCAAACTCTCTAACCCCAAAAACGCTGATCCGCAGGATTGTTATCTTCCCAGGTTTCACCAACCAAACGCCACTAAGCTTATGCCTCTCACAGGAAGAAACATAAAAGAACAAATCAACGGCTCCACTGTATGCTTTCAACCGAGCTATCACGCAGCCTTCAATAGCTACCCGAGCTACCCCAGTGTTCTTCCAAAAACCGCCATGGCGAAATCCACCAACGAGAGGCGTTCGGCGTTCGTTCCCGCGCCGCTGGTGGAAACCAAGCTTCGACGGTGGAGTCACGAATGAAGGGATCTGCCAGGATCTCAATCTCCATGGCGCTATGGATCAGCAAGCCACACACCCATTCGTAGACACACCAAAGCCTAAGTGATCCAGATGCGTGTAATTAGACGGTATGAACATATAGAGGAGATATGAGTGTCTGCCAAAAGATACTGTCAAGCAAAGGACATGATTCAGCAAGGTTAACGCTTTTGAAGGGAGCCTATCGCTTTTGCAGGTTTTAGCCCAATTCCTCAAATTCAGGACCGCTCTTTACTAAATTAGTCATTGCACGTTTGGGCGGCTGCTGATAATATGTGCAGCTGTCAAAACATGTTAGCCATTCTGCTTCCACTATTGCTCCACACAGTCTCAAGCAAAAACCAACAACCCCACAATCTCCCTCCAACCTGACGATTCTTTGTGGTTCCTCTTTGAAGCTACCACATGAGCCGCCATTGTTTGACCCGAATTGCCAGGCGGCCTTGACCAGCTCTTTGGCAGGAACTTATGGGAGCTGGCTAGGACATATCACACATATATCACACACACCGGTATCGGTTTGGGTATCGCTCTAAAAACCCAAACTTGTTGTTCCAAAACATAGGTCAAACATGGTCAAACGATCTTTGGCATATTCCTGGAACAGGTATTGCTCTAACAGGTCGGTTCCCTATCGCTACACACACACACAGTGATTGCAAAGCTCTACGAAGTCAATGGCAGGTCACCTCTACAACTCTTTATATAGGATGTTTTGGCCTTTTCTCATATGAAGAGAAGGGTTCGCATTCACACAATGGACATTGATCATGAAACATCATATATATATATTATATAGATATCATATCTCCTGCCCCCTCAGCTCTATATATCGCTGGTGGCTTTCCGTGCTCTATGCTTCTATAGTGCCTAACAGGAAATCTCGCTCTTCCCGTGTCCTCTCCAAAAGCCCAATCCACGGTCTTGACCAAGACTTCTCGCGGGAACGATTCAACGAAGGCGGAAAAGCCGTGGTGAGGTCGCGTTTGAACACGCTTTCGGCGGTCCAGGTGCCTCGAGAAGTAGTTCCAGGAGGCCAAAACGATCATCCCATCCTGGAGCAAGCGAGGCGCCCAAAATCCCTAAATCACAAAAAAAAAGCGACCAAAAAAGCGGGGCAAAACAACAAGCTTGGGAAATTGATCGGTTGGTGAAAACGGGTGAACCCATGTATTCTTCATGCACAAAAAGTCTGTGACTTTGGTGCTCAAAAGAGAATGGGGTGCAAAAGTCACCTCACAAATGGTGATAATAGCTATTTCAAAGGTCTGGATTTCCACACCGACACCTTACGCAGGCAACCAAGTATACTACAGATTGATGTAGTTTTATTTTATGATGTCCACATAATGATATGTCCACTCATGTCCACTCCATATTTGCAGAGCCTGTGCCCACACTTCCACTTCTGTGCATGTTCCACGAATCCCTGTTCCCTTTTTTCTCTGCCAGGGCGCAGAGAGAGCGATAAACTCTTCAAGCAAATTGACGCAGAGCGCCATCATGTCTGGATCACCCTGGGGGATGCATGCCTGCCAGTCACGGGCGGTCACGGAAGACAAATCAGCACAAAAGGCTGTCTCACGTGGTTGGTGGTGTGTAGAATCGACATTTGACGGGTAAAGTCGAGAGCTGAAGTCATCTGAAACAGAAGGGACAATCCAAGAACATCGCTCAAAATAGCACAATGTGTGAAATTGTTCAGTATTCTTGCTTGCCGCAGGGGACAAATGTCGGGGCCGGTGGAAAGTTAAAGCGGTTAAAGGTGGTCTGACACGTTCATGACATGTTACACAAACTTCCAACAACCACAATTGCTTTTGTTGCAAAGAAGAAGCACTTCAGGCATCAGAAAAAAAAGGTGATGCAAACGGCCTTCATTCCTGACTTTGTCCAGTGTGAAAGTCCTGCTTGAAGTCTGAATGCAAGCCTCAATTTCTTCAACAAGGCACTCAGGTTGGACTTTTTAGCCTACGTTTCCAGGAATGCAAATTCAGACTCTGAGATGAATAAGATTAACATGGTACAATATATATATAATATAGTATATATAGATATATCAGCACCACCCAGGTCGGGTGGTTTATAAACCCCCCTGAAGATGTATGTTCCTAATAACCAACCCTTTTATCCCGTTTGGGCTCCTGGCCCATCTCCTCAGGTTCGGTGGTATTTGACCCCCCCTGGGACCCACCCCTGGCCAGGAGCCCTAGGGCAAAACATCAACTTCAGGCCATCCACGACGCAGAAGTGTCGAAAAGAAGCACCTTGTCGATCCAGAAGCCGATGCTGCCCCAAGTGCTGGCATCCCCATACCTGAAAGCGGTGGGTTCGGTCATGAGAGGGGACAAGCACCAGAAATCATCTGAGTCATGGACAACATCAATGTTTAGGATTTTGTAGGGAATCTGATTAGTTCAAATCCTTGTCTATACATATAGGGGGCCAAAAAAAGGTCGATAGCTCGCTGTGGGAGAACAGGATTTCCGGAGCAGCCGTGACGAGTATCGCTTAGGTGCAGGTGGCCTAATATGTGGCCATGTAAGTATTCTAAGTATGACCTACACCCCCCCCCCAAACAGCCTGTGGGACGAAACAACTCATGGAACCTGACTCTGTGACGCTGGATCATGTGATCAATGTGCTGAAATCAGCGCTGTGTTCCATGAGCTCTGGCGAGCTAGTGAACTGAAAAGCTCACATCGGTTCACCCCTCGATGGGACGCCACCCGGCCGCGATTCGCTGGTGGTTTCCCCCGGTGAAACGAAGCGGACCTGGGACGTGGCCTCGGTACCTTGGAGTTAGGAAGGTCATGGCGTGGACGTTCTGGATCAGCATCGTTCAAGAACCCGGGTGACGTTGATCGACTATAGTTAATGTGACTTTTAGGCCTCCGATCTCGATGGCTTGGATCTGGCCAGACCCAAGTCAAGCCGCCTGAAAAACACAAGCAATTCAAACGGGCCGAAGCAGTTGAAAGGTGGAAGGAGACCCAGACTTGCCATGACTTCTCCCGTGTCTTGCCATAGGGATTCAAGGGTTACACTTCCAAACAGGAGGGGCAAGCCCCTTCCAGTGAGTCAGAGTCAGAGGGTAGAACATCCTAGAACCTGAGTAACCCCTGTTCTGGAGCCAAAGGACAAAAACGAACAACCGGATCTAACAAGCAACGATCCATGAGTGTGTGAGGTGTTTTTTTGTCTTTTTCGGGAGAAACCACGCATTGGCCACGGTCAGATGGTCCATGCCTTTCCCACCCGAGCGTTTCCGGCCCCGGGTCGGTTGCCGAAAGGACTCGTTCACGAAGACCGAGATGCAGGTTCCTGCAAGCATCTTTAGCATAGCAGCAAAGCTCCTCGGGAAGCGAGCGATGTGTGGTGCGATGTGCGGTGTGCCGCCGGTGTGCTACCGTCCCTCTTGGGCCGATGTGTGGGGCGAATGGCGAAGTAGAAAAGACCAATGAGACATAGCCTACAGCCAATTCCCAGCCGTCAATCGCCGTGACATGGCGCTCAGATGCGCTCGCGCTCCACTGAACTGTCTTCTCTTTCATCGACGTGCGACCAGCTGACCTCGCATCTTCCCGGTGCTTCCTTTGGTACGAACGCTGACAAGAGACTCGCCCGCACGAGTCACGCTTCACAGCATCCTAGCGGGTCGAGAGTCTGGTGCACCGCCCTGTGGGCGGGTCAAGAAGAGCGAGGGCAGGCCGGGCGGACGCGTGGGAGTGGCGGAGTCCACGGAATTGTATAGGTCCGCCTCTTGGCGCACACCAACGACGCAATGGAAATACGATGTTGTTGTTCGAGTGCATTACGTAGACGGCGTTTGGTGCGCTTTCGTTTTGTGCGCTTTACTTTGGTGCTGAGCAGGCCGAAGAGACATATAGCTTCCATCTCAAGTATTCTTAAGTACTTAAGGAGGCCATCGCTATTGGGTTGGAGGCCATCGCTATTAGCTTCCTTTTGATTCCTTTTGTTTCTACAAGTATAGGTGTGAGCTATCTGAGCTGATCTAAGGATCCAAGCTTCAAGTATTCTGAAGTAGTTTGTCTTTTTTTTGCTCGGCTAAAACAGCTCCCCCTAGTGCTTTCGGGCCAGGCTATCCGCATACCAGGTGAAGCGATTGATGCGATGTCAAAACACTTTACAACATCGCTTGCAGGCACAAGAACAAAGGTCAGTGGGAAAGAAACGAGGAGATTCATCATTCCGGACACATCTCCACACTTTAATCTTCATCTTCATCTTCTTCTTCTTCTTTTTCTTATTATTTTTCTTCCTCTACTTATATTTTTTATTCATTAATATTATTGTTTTTCTTATTAACTATTCTTCATTATTCTTCTCTTCCATTCAACTTTCCGCCCACACGGTCTCCGTCCCTCACCCCGTCATATTGTCTCCACGCCAGGGTGCTGCAGCTTTCGTCTGCCTCGATCGTTTGGGAGCGAAGAAGACAGCAGACCCGTGTAGAAACGGAGTCGTTGTAGACCACCATGGTAGGATCCCAATAGGTAGTGGACCACTAGGTGACCAATAGGTTGTCTTTTACTATCGTTTTCTCAAGAAGCTCCACATGCCCCCTACCCAGGTTTTGAGACTGTTGGGACATGCTCTGTCAGGTGTGCATATTCAATCCCCAAACACCCAAACCGCGTAAGCAGTTTTCCGCAAAATTTGACGGGCTCCCGCACAACCACCAGCGAAGAAGAGGGGCCCAAAAAACTGTTTTTTCAGCTGGCAACTGACACAGATTTGCCCTCCTCTCTGCCCAAGAAGCGGGAAGCTGGTTTGCTTTGCCATGGTCTCGGCCTGACACGTTCGACCAAGGATTGGGTTACAATCAGAACAAATGCTTGTCATATCAGGAAATTTATGATGAGAGAGAGAAAGAGAGTGAGACAACAACGCTGGACAAGGACTTAGACTAAGTGCATGGATTATAATGATTATATAATCAAATATAATTAAGAACCCTCAAACCTGCCTTGATCGTCAGTGAGTAGTGTATGATTGTCATCTTTTCTGGACAGTTTGAAATCATTGTCTTGACATTCTTTGGAGATGATCAATGCAGCATGCTATGCAGCCAACACGGTCGCTTTTCATACTGCCAATCATCATGCTTTCTCATATTGATTCATGAACCCAGCATCATGCGGCAACTGCACCCCTTTCCGCCATTTTGGGGGGGGGGCGCAAGTGGATGGGATGATTGTCTCTTCGAACGCCTTCTCGGAAGGGCGCACCCTATCCAAGGCCCCAAGAGAAGTGAAGCTGAGACACGTGACTGAGGTGAAACGGTGATGTTCCATCTCTCAGGGCACTCTGAAAGCCAAACTTTGCCGTGGTCGATAATATCATGAAAGGATTTGAAAGGGTAAACCATGATAAGCCTGCACCCTCCCTCCACCAACTAAGATCACTCCCATCTCCGCTCCGTTTTTCGCCCATCCACCTCCATCTGGTTTTTTCTGAGGTCCCGGCCCAACCCACCGGCTTGTTCCAGCAGTGCGACACGAACACGATGTGACCGTTCGTCTGCCGACACTTGGCCTCTGGGCGAAGCCCACGGAAACGCCACCGTCGAGCTGTCGAGCTGGTTCGGCACAAGGGGGTGGACACAACGTGCGCCGGGTCTTTGCGCCAGGAAAGGGCGGCATGTCCTAATTGGTTGAAAGATGTTGAAAGTTGAAACACGTCATGTAGCGGCCGGAGGCTGTCACGACGTCAAACCTTCTGAAGACGACTCCAGAACCTTCTGGCAAAATTGAAATCTGAAGTCGGAGCAAAAGACCCTACCATGCTTCATCGATCAATTTGTTTGAAAAATATAGTATATAGTATGGCAATATTGCGGGAGCCATGGGATAAGATAATAGCTGCATCTCAGAGCCTTTATATAACACAACCAAAACAGACTTGGTTGACCTAGGCATTCAGTGAAGGCAATCATTTTCTGAATAAGGATGCTCCCTCCCACCAATGAACACACATCCAGCATAAGGTAGAATGAGTGATGTGGCACTCTTCCAGCACCCACACAAATCTCAAATAATCAGGTTGGGAGATGTTGGGAGTCTTCAAGACGGGGGGTGGTTCCACTGAGATCATGAGTATATATTCTCCAAGCTCCCATGCTTTGGGACTGGGCTTCGATAGAAATTCACTCATCAGAGTGGTTCTATAACCCTAGGGATCCAGTCGTACCTTCTCAGGAAGTATTTGGACCCCCAAAGCCATAAAAGTGTTTCCAATCACCTTCTCAAAGGGTGCCAGTCGATCCAACCTGCAGTTTGCGGCTCCAAGTCGAGTCGGACAACTTGGGTTCGAGTCTGACAGCTCTGGTCGAGTTGCCATGCTTTCTTCGCTGCCTAACCAGTCCTGCAGGGCTGAGCAGGGCGGAACCGAGAGCAAGGAACCACGAACAACTTCGGTGGGCCATGCGAGACCAAAGCTTCTTGGGGGCTCTGCTCTGACCTTCTTGGATTCGTGGAGAAAA